TATAAATGTGGCTTCCTTGAGCTATGGCAGTGAAATAGATTTTAATATCACGTATCTAAAACTGCCTTATAGTTCAAAGGCATTTCCGCACGTAGATGTCTAGATTAAACCAATTTTTATTGTTGGTGGCAGGTCCTTTCATATTAAGAGCTTCCTATATTTTTAATCGCTTTTTGCACATGAATTGTTTGTTTATTTAATAGAAAAAACACACTCCAGAGTTTCGTAGACGGACCCTCCGGGAATCACTCTATCCACTCCTCAGGGGTTATAAGCAATTGATTCATTATACTTCTCGATTTTTATTTTGGTACAATTTTTTATTATCATAATGTATGTATACGTCTGCGCTTATGTAAGTACGTGTTATTTGTCCCTTTCGTAACGTATGTAAATATAAAACTTGACATAAACGCAATCTTCATGGCCTGAAGATCGAGCACTTTAACCATAAATATAGCATGCCTTAAAACTATATACATATCATATGGTGGACTCTCCCGTCGTATTCGACGTATGAGGGTCAAGCAGCTCGGTGCCTAGGAACCGACAGCCAGACACCAGCACATGGGATGGGATTATAGTGGTGAAGGCTTTGTGCAGAACCAATCACATTTTTTGAAGGGCCGAATACAGAGACCTGGTGCACTACGTGTCACAAGGTCCCCAAACGACCCTCAGCGGGTTTTGTCGTCCTGGGTATGACGATAAACTACATCCGCGTCCTGGGTAAGACGATGAACTACGTCCAACGGCGAGGCCTTTGGCCGGGAGGTTTTGGGGAGCGTGGGACCACCTCTTATTTGCTGGTGTTCTCAGATCCGCCCTGACCCGGGGTGGTTGTGCCTGTTGGGGTCCCGTCTATGGCTAAGTGGTTTACCAGCAATACATATTTGAAGGAGAAGTACCAGAAATAGATTCTTGAAGAAAATGGTGTTGCCAGAAATGGATTTTTGAAAAAAAAATATTACCAAAAATAAAAATTTTGTCGGCATTGAATAAACCTTTGAGGTTGATATGCCGTAAAACAAAACAAACCAAACCAAACCGCAGGTTTTCAATTCAGAGTTTTCCTTCTCCTAGACCAGTTGCTATTCAAGGCTATAGTACCCAGTCTCTCCTGCTATTTACCCATAGCTGGGGGGGGGGAGAAACGGATTCATTCTTTTCCCAAGGGTGTTAACACGTAAATAAATGTAATAGATTCGACTGGAATTCGAACTCAGCTCTCCGATTACTCAATCCGAGTCGCTATCCACGTACCTTCTATATGAATGTATTTTGAATTTTACCTGAATTTTTCTATATTCTGTGAAATCGTCGTTTGTAAATACTGATATTCCTGCAATTTAGCTTCATACGACAAAAGATCAAATGCAGAAAATAGTAGGAATATTACGTTAGTCTCCTTAGTGTGGATATTCATGCTTGTCTAAAAATCAGCATCCGAAATCCTGGCATACTTGGGTTTGCACGCTCACCGGAGAATTACGTGGTTATCTCGGCCTCGAGGGAAACTAAGTGAAAATGATATTTATGGTACAAAGATTTCAAATCAACAATGTCGAAGACACAAGCAACGGCTGACATAAAGTTTATTTTAGAAATAACGAGCTAAACTTCACATAAAATTTATTATCTTCTAAAACAATAAAAGACTTAATACTAAACAAAATAATTAGAAGCTAAAACCATAGACCGGAATTAACTCTATAACCTGTAATGATTGCTACAAGGCATACATAGCCGAAACCTCGAGAAATTTAAATAAAAGATTATATAAACACAAAAGGTATGATCTAGAAAACAACACGCTCCATTTATTAATTGCTCAACGTAATGAGTCTGACCATAATTTCAATTTAAAACATGCTACTTTAATTAAAAGAGAAAGCAATTTAGTAAAGAGAAAATGTAGAGAAAGTGTTTTAATCATCTCATCCTTAATAAATTTACTTCCAGGTTCTTACAACATTTCACCTTTCTTGGTAGATTTTCTATTATCACAATGTGGGATATTTAATAACGAAAGTGATAAAAACATAAACAAAGAGAAAAAGAAACGAAATGAAATCGGCAAGGTATATATATACCGAAAACATATATTAAAACAAAAATCAAAAAAACATTCAATTTTAAAATTTCAGCTAGCTTCTCTTTTATGCGCACGTGTAATCACATCAACGGAAACATCAATTTAATCCGATCGAAACGCGTTATACGAAAAAATATTTTCCACTTTGCCAAAGATTTTCCTAACACACACACACACACACACACACACACACGCACGTGCGCGGGCACACACACACACACATATATATATTTATTAGACATGTCTGTTTGAATAAATTATAAACATGATAAAAATAAGCAGATATGCTTATTTTTATCTTAATCCTTTCATATTCACGAATATTTTCCCGTATATTACAGTTGAATAAGGCAAGAATCCTACTGTAACATTGAAAATCGCTTTTATTTCCTAAATACTTTCCATCTCTTTCTGAGATTAGGGGTGCAAATGGTAAGGCTAAAACTTTGTGTAGCCATCCATTACAATATATATATATATATATATATATATATATATATATATATATATATATATATATGAGGTAGAGAGAGAGAGAGAGAGAGAGAGATTATAACAATGTAGGATACTTAATAAAAGTGATAAAACCAAAAGCATAAGTAAACTGAATAAAATTGGCCCAGGCACAAAAAAAAAATAAATAAAAGATTAAAAAATTGCATTTTTCAATTCAAAAATTTAAAATCTCAGCGTTCCAACATTTTCAGCGTTTCTTTTCTATTAACAAAAACATTATTTTAGTCCAGTTTTCCTAAATGATGAAACGCGTCACAAAATTTTTGCCACTTTGTATTTTGCGTAACACTGTTCTGATATATATATATATATATATATATATATATATATATATGCATTACCCTCCAATATATAAAGAGTCCGGCAAAAATGTATACACACTTCTGGAGAGAAAAGACTTGTCTTTCGTAGTTTTATCAAATGGCGATAATATTGACATACATGAACTTTATGGTATGAATTTTTCTTTCAACAAAATGGCGCACCACCACATTCGTAGCAAGACGTGTGAGTTTATCTGAATGAGAATTTGCAAGGAGACTGGCTAAGAAGAAAAGGTGCCGTCGAGTTCTGCCTTACTTTCTCCTGATTTAACATCTGCAGTTTTTTACCTATCGGGGAACAGTAAAGGATGTGGTGTATTACAGTAAGCTGAATACAATGGCGGCACTTAGACAAGAAATTGAAACTATATGTGCAGCAATCCCACTGGACAAGCAGTATTTCGTCGTGTTAAATGTCTGGAAAGTAAAGGAGACCACTTTGAATATCTCTTATGATTGTAGAGTCCAATTGTAACTTGTATTAATCTCGTGATGTCTGAATAAAATTAGTATTACAATATATATAACAATTTTTTTTTTTTGCTAAATGTATACACACATACATTTTTTAAACTAAATATATATATATATATATATATATATATATATATATATATATAGAGAGAGAGAGAGAGAGAGAGAGAGCGATTGATAAATTGTCGTCTAAATTACGCAAAAATTAAAATAACAGTGACATCGCATTTTAACAGATATATTTACCAAAATTGCACAAAAAATATCTTGAAATTTATTTAATAAAATCGTCATTGACTTCGACCACGGCCTCCAGACGACTTCGGGATCTCCTGAAACTCTTCTGGATGGTCTCCTTGTTAAGGGTGTTGCAGTCTGGGGAGTTAGGTGGCCAGATGTAAGGGGTGATGTGATCACAGAAATTGACTGACAGACATAACTGGGTTCTCCTGCTTGTGTGACATGGTGCAGAATCCTGTTTAGAGACATAGGGTCTCCCCCCCCCCATTGTCCTTAAGTCACTTGATGTAGGTCTTCGTGTTGAGTCTGAAGTGCTGTGGGAAAATGAATGGAAGTATAACGTCGACATCACTAGTGATCATTTCAAACACATTCGTAAACACCATTACTTTACAACTCTTTCCGAATCCTCTGCACTGGCCACAGATTGACACCCAAACACACTGAAATGTTCGCATTGGACTTCCGGTGCGAATGCCAAGCAGTACAGCATGCCGTTTCCAGATTTTTGGCGGAGTGAATTACGTCATGGCGCTCTTTTTGTCACAGATGGTGGCCAACTGACTCTGTGCAGTCGACAAAATCAAAAACAAACAACGCGCATGCGCGATATTAAAACTATAACATGCTGACAATTTACCGCACGCATCCTGTATATAGTATGATATATACGGAGTTACTGAAAAGTTCTTCATCTGACCACTTTGACAAAATCTGACCAAATAATCAAACATTAGAATGTATTTTAGAATTCTTTCTTAGTCGAGCCAAGAACTTTTCAGCACCCTTCCAATGTGGAGTATCATCTATTTCTGTAAATGTGAACTGCATTGGTTGGTGTAATCCACTGTGGTTTTTATTTAAACTTTAGATATCCGTCCCAAACCTAATTCTGCAAGATCAAAAATCTTCCAAATGCAATTCAAAATCGCAAAGAATATCTTTTCACAATGTAAAATTAAAAAAAAAAATCAAAGAGATTTTTGAATCACAACAAGAAATCGGGCAATGGACAATGTCAAGGAGTTTTTTTTTTTTTATACATAGAGTAACTTAAAATCAATAATTCAATAAATATACAAATTCTTAAAATTTGGAGTAAAAAAATAATATTTTTAGAATTTGCCTCCATTACATTACTCGTAAAAACTGAAGTAAAATTATGTACAGTGACTGAGAAACAGCTGAACCAAATACATAATATTCAGAGATGAACGCATTTGACATTTTTACCATTCCAGATATCAACATATATTTGCTCCCTTTATTTGTATATAAATTACATATTTATTCCTGCATATATATTAAATTAATAATTCCTATATTTAGGTCTTAATTAATTTTTTTTTCAGGGGACCTTTGGTTTGAAGATTACAGTATCGGATCACGATGACAACGACAACGACCCTGTTGGTTCTATTGATTACGAATTTAAATCGAGCCATCGGATAAAAGAAGAGAATCTCACTAAAGAACTATTCAGGTTAGCAAAGAAAAGAAAAAAGAAAGAAAGAAAGAAAGAAAGAAAGAAAGAAAGAAAGAAAGAAAAGGCTAGGAAGGATGAATGAAAATAAAAAAGAAAGAAAGAATGAATGAATGAAATAAGAAAGTAAGGAAAACAAGAAGGAAAGAGAGCGACAAAGAAAGAAAGAAGTAAAGAAAGAAAGAGGGAAGGAAAGAAATAAAAAGAAAAAAATGAAGCCAAGAAAGAATAAAAAGAAAGAAAGAAGAAAAGAAAGAATGACTGAAAGAAAGAAGGAAGGAATGAAAGCAAGCAAGAAAGAAACAATTCAAAAAAGAAAAAGAACGATGATAAAGAAAAAAGAAAGACGTTATGAAAGAAAGGAAAAAGAAAGAAAGATAAAATGACTGCAATAAAATTAATGAAAGAACAGAAAGAAAGAAAAAAGAATATAGACTATAAAGAAATACAAGAAAGAATGAATGAAAGAAAGAGAGAAAGAAAAAATAAAATAGAATTTAAAGAATGAAAGGAAGAAAGATACGAAAGAAAGATACGAAAGAATGAATGAAAGAAGAAAGGAAGGAATGCAAAAAAGAAAGGAAGGAAGGAATGCAAAATAGAAAGAAAGAAAGAAAAAGAAGACAATATAAGAAAGAAGTCAAAAATTCAAGAAAGAAGGAAAGAAAGAAAGATACAAAACAATTCACGAAAGTTTGTGCGAAAAAGTGCATCTGACTTTGATGTAAAAACAAATGCAAAGTCCGTTGCCTGACAGATAAAAATTGGATTTGAATTTTTAACTTTATAATATTCTTGGGTTTAATGGAGAAGTTTTGTCTAGAATGCCGAGGCAAAAAAAGGAGATTATGTTAAAAGATATAATTCTTGTGTAAAATAAATGTTTTTTTTTTCTTTATCATTAAATGGACTTATTAATGCTTCTTATTAATGCGCCTTATTCAAATTGATCACACCGGAAATTAGTGCGCCATCTCCCAGAAACTGTAACAAAGGTTCGCCCAGCATAGTTGCAGTATAAAGACGAGCTCCATAGGAGTTAAACAAATACAAATGTGCCTAAGAAGGCGTCTGCAAACAGGAATTAGCTATCTGTTCTAGCCGATAGGTATACTCGGAAACCAATAGCCAACCATTATATATATATATATATATATATATATATATATACATGTGTGTTTGTGTGTTCAGTTGAAGGTACACCCTTACGCTACAAAGACAAATTGAAAGACAACTTGAAACGTCTCAACTTTGATCTGAAAATCTGGGAAACCCACGCATCAAACCGAAAGGAGTAGTGTAAGACATGTTTCATTAAGTTAAAGAGTTTTGAAGACAGTAGACCGAAACACTGTGATCAACTTCGTTAAGCTCTGAAACAGAGACACCATCAAAATCCTGCTTTAAAAAATTTCATCTGTCAGTGTAGCTTTATCGCCCGCAGCAAGGCTGGGCTAGTGTCGCACTTAAGAAAGCACAAATGAAATATATCGTTCCCTTACCTGATTTTCTCCACAATAGTCCCTGCTAGCATGCATAAGTGTAAAACGAAAGGCACCACGCACTGCTGTAAAAGCTTTGCCGATCAGTTGATTGATGTTACCTTCATCATCTCAGAGTTTCGTAGAAGGACTCTCCGAGAATCACTCCGTCCATTCGTCAGGGAGTATCTCTATCTATCTATCTATCTATCTATCTATCTATCTATCTATCTATCTATATATATATATATATATATATATATATGTGTGTGTGTGTGTGTGTGTGTGTGTGTGTGTGTGTTTGTTTGTATGTGTGTGTGTAAATTTTTCATGGAGTTTATCTGTAATTGAGACAAAGTGAATAAAAAAAAAGAGGTAAAACTATACTTAGTCAACGCGTTTCGTCATCTGAAAGACTTCATCAAGGTAAATATACATTTGTCTTGATGAATTCCTTTTATTCATATATATATATATATATATATATATATGTGTGTGTGTGTGTGTGTGTGGTGTTTGTGTGTGTTTTGTGTGTGTATGCTTAAAATCGAATATATATATATATATATATATATATATATATATATATATAAGAAATGGATAAGGTCATAACGTCTTAACATATGACGTCATTTGTTTACATTCGATACGCCAGAGCAGTTATGAATGTACGAGATTCATGGAAGATTGTAGTTTATAACAGTAAATTCGACCTTGTCTACCATAAGGTTCATGGTGGCCGAGTGGTTAAGGCATGTCAGCGTATATGACAGTTCCGTATAGGATGCAGGTTCGAATCCTGTCTATGAACGAATATTTTCTATGAAAAAATTTCTCGACATTCAGGCCGGTAAATGTTATTTAATACTGTTTATCTTAAACAGAGCATTTGCTTAAATACTTGTATCTATAAAATAACAACGTTAAACATAAATAAAAATGTCTTTAATAAATATATATATATATAACTAAAACTGAAAACAGCTACTTTGTGAAATTCCACCATGTGAAATGCAAATATATGCAACTCAGTTAAAATGCAACATGAGACAATAGTTAAAGAAATGCCCGAAAAAATAATGAAATAAAATAAACAAAAACTCTAAATAGATTGATAAAATTAAGTAAATAATAAACAAAAATTACGAATGCACACATAAGCTCAAGTGAATGTAATAATAATAATAATAATCAACAACAAATAATTAAGTAATCAATAATACATAACGAATAAAAAGTTAACAAATAACGCTATAAAATAGCTACAAATAACCGCTTCAGTTCCACAATTGTTTCAAGTTAATAGACTCGAGATCAATTTGAAGCATAACCGTTAGCACCTACTCAATGGCTGTTAGGCTAATACAATAGACTTTACTAGTAATAAATCATTGACTAGCATATATAAATAGTTGAGCTAAAGCAAAATACACATGGCCTGAAGACTGTGTCCAAGAATGAAACAAAATTATCACCGCTTGGTGTTGACATCAGTGTCTACTTTTATATTTACATACGCTCTATCTCCGATATTAAGCACTTTTACCCATAAATATAGTATAGCTTAAAATTATATATATATATATATATATATATATATATATATATATATATATAACTATAAATATATATATATATATATATATATATATATATATATATATATATATATACCCAAGTATAGGACTGGTGCATACGGAATAAATTTCAATAACCAACAATTACTATTCTTAAAAGAGGGCTCAATACATAGTAGAGCAGATATAATTTATTTAAAAATTATAACATATTTATGTTATAATTTTAAATAATATATATATATATATATATATATATATATATATATATATAAATAAACGAATTAATAGAAAAAATAAACAAAAAATCTAAATAAATAAAATTAATTAAATAATAAACAAATTAAAAAACTACGAATGCACACATCAGCCCAAGTGAATGTAATAATAAACAACAACAAATAATTAAGTAATCAATAATACATAACGAGTAAAAAGTTAATGACAAAAAATCAATAAAAAGCTACAAATAACTATATTCGAATTCACAATTATTTTTGCACAATAGAATCTAGAATAATTTGAAACAGAATCGATCTGTATATGGATCGCCTTGAATAGACTTTATACACATAATACAGCATTGACCAGCATTTATAAATAGTTCATCCCCTGAAGAATGCGTTTAAGCATAAAACAGCCATTTGATGTTGACCTCAGTGTCAACTTTTATAATTTACATACGTTCTATTTTTAACATTTGAGCTATTTTGCCCATAAATATAGCATACCTTAAAACTAAATTTTTATTCTTCTACATAGCGTAAATTTTTCCTAATAAGATTTCTCGAACATTCAGGACAGAACACGAAATTAAAATATACTACTTAATAAATAAACGGATCGTCTATTCAAATACGAATATCCACTAAAAATACCACTAAAAGTTATAAATATATTACACACACACACACACACACACACACACACACACACACACACATATGTGTGTGTTTAATATATTTATTATTTATTATTGTCATATATATATATATATATATATATATATATATATATGTAAATATATATATAAATTTATAATTATTAGAGAAATTTATATATATATATATATATATATATATGTAAATATATATATAAATTTATAATTATTAGAGAGAAATTTATATATATATATATATATATATATATATATATATATATATATATATATATATATATATATATATATATATATATATATATATATATATATATATATATAAATTTCTCCGATTTGACCAGTAAAGAAGACAATATTTATGAATAAAAATGACAATAGGCAATTACTAGTTTTCTTATTGTCATTTTTATTTATAAATATATATATATATATATATATATATATATATATATATATATATATATATATATATATATATATGTGAAAAATATAGTTAGGTATGCTATATTTATGGATTAAAGTGTTGAATATCAGGGATAGATCATTTTGCTGATCCTTCTAACATTGCATTTACATCCATTTTTCGTTTGCTTTTTTTCTCTCTTTTTCCATTTACCTGGTCCTAAGTTAAATTTTGCTGATTCTTTTATTAATGTTTCTATCGAACCATTTTCATTCTTTCTTTTTTTTTCCTTTCCAGCATTACTTTTCGCATCGAGATATCCTGTGATATTAATTATTATGGAGCAGACTGTTCGACATTTTGCCTGCCTAACGCTATGTGCCATTGCATGGAATCAGGCGAACTTACTTGCCGAACACGTAAGTTAATTCCGTTCTATTGCCTTTTAAAAGCGTAGCACAATTAATGCGTTAGTTTCCCATTCTTATCACCTATTCGTGAAGCAAAAGATCTTTGATAAATAGGCACCTGCACAGAGCAATGATTAATAATTCTTACTGACAACTTTTCATTTTACCCCAAAGCAAGGTTATAAAACCACTAGAATACAAGGGTAGTCTCTCTCCTAGAAACTGGTGCAATGGTGTACTCTTCCAGAAACTCAGCTTTTTGTAGTATAAAGCACAGTAAGTGTTAAAAAACACAAATGTGCCTGAGACGTCTGCAAACGAATTGGCTAGCCGTACCAAGAAACAGATGTACTTGGAGGTAGTCGCCCATTATATATATATATATATATATATATATATATATATATATATATATATATATATATATATATATATATATATAAATCCTAAAGAGCTAGGAACAACTTAACTAAGTTTTCGCTAAAACGGATCTTCAGGGTAATCTGCCTATATATATATATATATATATATATATATATATATATATATATATATATATATATATACTAATAGTAATACCTGTTTGTTAAAAACAGATAGCTCCACTTGTAGATATATCAAAACAAATCGGTAGCCGAGGAAAAATTGGAAAAAAAAAAAAAAACTAAAAAATCCGAACAGGGTGAAATAAATCGACCAGTGCCTTAAGTCTTTAGTCCAAAGGAAAAAAACTATATATATATATATATATATATATATATATATATATATATATATGCTATATTTATGGGTAAAAGTGTTCAATATCATGTATATATATAGATAGAAATGTAAAAGCTGACATTGGGGTCAACACCCAATGGTGATAGCCTATTTCTTCCTTAAACAAAATTTTCAGGCCATGTGTTTAAACATGGAATAGATTGTCGTCGCTGGGTGTTGGTCTCAATGTCCACTTTTATATTTATATTTACATATATCTATGAAATTGAGCTCTTTAACCCGTAAACATTGCTTACCTTATAACTATGGTTTTATCATATATATATATATATATATATATATATATATATATATATATATATGAGTTTGTGTCTGTGTCTATGTGTCTGTGTGCGCACGCGCGTGTGTGTATACATAAATATCGAAGACTAAAAACAAATATCTTGTAAAATGCCACCATGATAATACAAATATGTCGTTCTTTCGTCATAATAGTATTTTCTCATATTCTCTAATAATCAGTAACTCTTTACGTATTAGTGGCTTTATTGCCTTGCTTGAGGTGAAATTATTAAATACATAAACAAATAGGTTTGTTGGGATCCTTTATGATGTTTGGCTTAGTGTATTAAAACTATTGATATACAATTCAAAATTGTATTGTGTTTGGTACTTCTGTTTTTCTTTCGAAATGGTTGAAGAGAAAATGAAAGGCCAAAGGAGAATATTTTATCATTCTTCTGTTAAAGAACCAATTCCATCTGACAATCTTGGTAAATTGTCTTTTGGGTGGGACTGAGAAAAGACCAATTTCATCTATTCCAGTGGGACAAAAAAACACTCCAAAGATGGCCAATTTCCGGGTGAATACATGCAAACTCGGGTATAAACCCGAACAATATCTAACCTTTTAATTCTCATATAAAGCAGGGAATAATGTTTAGTGGCTGGAATTGAGAAATCGGGAAGCGGAGTTCGAATTCAAGTTGAGTTCATTACATTCACTTACTCACGAATACCTTTAGACAATGTATCAATACCTCTCTTCTTCCGCCAGCTATTGGTAAAATATCAGGGCAGACTGGGACCTATAGTCTTGGTTGGCAACCAATCTAGGAAAAAGAAACTCTAAATTCAAAACCACCTGATACCTTGTAGGTCCTGCCTCTTTAGGCAAAGTCTAGAAGAAGATAACTTAAAAAACAAATCCACCCTTGAGAGGGATGGGGTAACATCCTTGGTGCAAAAGAGACTATTTTACCCTGAATGTCATCATGATGGAGCGGAATGATGGCCATTGAATAAAATGATAAAGCAACAGAAATGCGGTTCTACAGAAGGATGCTGAGAATACTATGTCAGATAAAACAGAAACAAAAAGGACACTGGATGGAGAACAACGCTTAGGAGAGATAACAAAAAGACAACATTTACAAATAACAGGAAATTATGGAGAGCCTTAATCGCCCACGCCCTGAAACGGCACATAGATGAAGAATAGCTGCAGACTTTGATGTATTTTGGCTACACTCACAGGATGAAGAAAAAACTTTAGGCAACAAAATTTGGTTCTACAGAAGGATGCTGAGAATACCATGGACTGAACACGTAAGCAACGATGAAGTTTTAGATAAAGTGGAAAACAAAAAAGAAATTTATACTTAACATCAGAAAGAGACAGATGAAATTTCTAGAGCACATAATGGGGAAAGAGGGCTTGGAAAATTAAATACTCACGGGGCGGATTGAAGGCAAGAGGTACAAGGGGAAAGCAGCACATAGGCTACCTAACGTGCTTGTGTAAATGAATAGCAGAACAGGGTTTCGAAGCGATTACAAAAAAACTAAATTTACTAAGAGATACAATGGAGAGTGAATTGTGGAGAGTCATGATCGACAACCTCCTAAAGGGACACGGCACATAAAAAGATAAAACTAACTTACCGACCCTCTGCTGCTCCAGCCGACCACTGTGGTTAGCTGATCACTTTTTATGTCATTATGATCGAAAACGCGTAATATCGACTTAACTCATGTGATCAGGTAGCGTGCTTTGATTTCAACTGGCCACGTGTAATAACTACGCATTCATCGATCATAACCATGATGAACCTGGTGTAGTCAAGCCACACTCTACGTTGAACGTCTTGTATAACGTTATTACGATGTTCGATGTTCATTAGATTCCTAATGGCCTTGTTGTAGACCTCGCCGTGTTGCCGGGTAAATTCTTTTGTAAATGGCTTAATACTTTCCGGACATATTCCGTACATTGTCTCACTTCCGATAAACAATGCAAGGATCACAAAAACAGTTTTGCGTCACCCAGAGGCAACCGACTTCGTCATATGATGGCGTAAAATATTTCTTCTTCAATTATTAAAATTTCAGATTCATATATATATATCTATGTGTGTGTGTGTGTGTGTGTGTGTAGAACTGACTGCGTCTAATTTCATTCATATTCCTATCTCTGGAATCATTGTTGAATATTCCCCTTGGCAGAACACCAATGATGAGTAAACGAATAGGAAAATGAAAAATCTGAACATGATTTATGCAACTCTTATAAATGCAAGTTTAGAAATTATATTGGCTTATGAAACATGTTTTTAAAAATTTTGTAATAAAAAAAATTATGTTCAATTACAACGAAACAAGTTAGAACTAAAAAAACGAAAACATCTTTTCTGAACAACGTTCCATTTATTTAATAAATGGAAATAATAAAAGTTCGGCTGTTATAAAATTTGCTGTTGCCTGTACTTTTCAAGCAGAAAATAAAACAGTCTACTTCACTTAATTCGGAACTGACAGCAAAGAATTGAATGATTGCATTTTCTCTTTTGCGTCCAGGTTAGTATACGAGCTATTGACGTAGCCATAGTAACATAGTAACACTCATCTGATCTTGCAGAGGCGGGCGTGTATAGCAAGGTTGTTCTGGCCGATGCGCGATCTACCAACTTGATACGACAACCAACATAAGTTCCTAGTGTCTCGCGTGCCTACAGCTTTTCAAAAAAAAAAAAAAATTGCTTAGTCCTCTTTCGTGATCGCCATTACCACGTTCTTTTTAATCTCGACCACGAACTGAATTCGTCATTCTAACGGAAGTTTTAGCCGCAGAAAAAAAGTAGTTATCAGAGAGTGTTAAATCTAAACTTTAGTTAGATTGGAGTTGACATAATTGGACAATGCCTTGTTTTATTTATAAGTAAATAAATATAAATTATCCGCGACGTGATGAATGAATAAGTGAATTGCCGTGATGAAGGCAACAGTAACATAACATATCACGCAATGGTTTATCCATACCAACTTAGCAGTCTCTCGTCAGGGTATTCAGTCGGTCTGAAGAAACCACTGACACGACAATTCACTTATTCATTCATGTATGCACAGTAAAATCGTCTATGATTGGGTGCAAAATTGTATGAAAGTCATACAATTGATTTCGGAGATATTCAAAATGGTTTGCTACTTTCTACGCAGGCCTCGTATTATAACAATTTTAGTTTTTGCGGCAGTAAGTCATTCGTAACTAGTTTCGTTTTTTATTCATAAGATAGCAAGATTTTCATCGACTTTTCATTGACTGTTACAAATAATTGGATTGTACAATTTTGTAATTTCACTGCAAAGTCTGTAGATTAAAACTAAGACTACAACAAACAGTTTTAACACATTACCAATACGATGCATGTTGACTTTTCATGTCATTTTGTTTATTTCTTCAGAACCACACATTAGTCCATTTCATGGCGTTTATATATCTTACGATCATCGAAGTTAAGAAACGTCAAGCATGGTTAGTACCTAGATGGGTGACTGCTTGGGAATATTAGATGCTGTAAGCTTAGTCGTACGGGTGGTTTAATGGATAATGGCTCGGAATTGAAAATCAGAGAGCAAAGTTCCAAATCCAGTCGGGTTCATTATATTCACTTTTGTGCAAATACCCTTTGGAAAGGGCATGAATTCACCACTTTTCCCCATATATGGATTAATTATTAGAATTTGTATCAGTAAAATCATTAATATCTCTCCTTCTAAATCTTATAATCTAAAAATGTTTTCTGGCTTTAAATAACCTGCAAAAAAGTTGATAACCCGTAAAAAAAACAATCATTATCTGTCTATATTTCTGAGATGAGGCACTGTAATTATTTATATTATTTACATTGTTCGGATTGTTCGAAGTGGGCCATGTGTCCTTGAGGATAAGAGCGTTGTTTGAATCTAGTGACTTAACCCTAAGAGTTGTAAGTTCAATACCTGGCTAC